GGCCGGGCGCCCACCACGCCGGGGCTGTCGGCGGCGCCGATTACTTTTTCCGAGGGCGGGGAGGGCTCAGTCCGGGCCGCGCTGCCGCCGCCGCCGCTCCGCGCTGGGCCCCGCCGCTGCCATAAAATGTTTGACGGCTGCCTCCTGCCTCTGATGTTTGCCTGCCTGCTGCTTTGGGGACTGGACGCCGGCACAGGTAGCGCTTCCCTTCCCCCCCGGCCCGTCCCCCTTTTCCCCCGGCGGCGCTGACAAGGGTCCGGCGGGGCGGGCGGTGGGCGCTCAGCCCCCGGCGTGCGGGCGCGGACCGCAGGGCACGCACCGGATCCCCTGCGTGGCCGCCGTCCCAGTCTGCAGGATGAATTGCTCCAGGCTTTTGTATTTTCTTTTCCTGTCCTCTCGCTGCTGCTGCTGCTGCTGCTGTAACGTTTCATGTGGAAAGCTGCTGACTGTCCTTGGCTGCGGCTTCGGCTTGCTCTGCTTTTCCCCTTCTCCCTGCAGATTTTTATTGGGGTTGGTGAAATGCGATGCTTGTGTCTGAGCTATATATACATTTTTTTTAATGATACAAGTAGCTTTAGCATTTGCTTTATTCCTCTCTTCCCTGCGCGTTTTTTGCCTCCAATATAGATGTGTGTGTATATATATAGAGAAATAAATCCCTTTCCTCCGCTGGCTCCATTGTCTCTGCAGCCTGTTCACAATTTCCAGTGCCTGAGTCTCTGCGCTGAAATCCGAGCGCAGGGGCTGTCCTGCCCCGGCAGGACGGGGCGTCCCGGCGGGGAGGGGGACGGGGGAGCGGGGAGGGGGCTGGCGGGGCAGGGAGCCCCCCGGCCGCCCCGTCGGGCCGCGGGGGTGCGAGCGTCCTGAGCCCTCTCTCCTTCTCGCCTGCAGCTGGCGGAGCGGAGCTGGAAGTGGTGATCCCGGAGCGAGTGGCGCTGGAGAAGATCCACCTGCTGCCGCCCGCCCGGCGAGGGGATCGCGGCGGCCCCCGGCGCCGGCGGGCGCTACCGCGGCAGCGGGCGGAGGAGGAGGAGGAGGAGGAGGAGGCCCTGCTGCTCCGTCTGCCCGCCGCCGGCTCCGAGCTCTACCTGCACCTCCGCCGCGACCTGCGCTTCCTCGCCCGGGGCTTCGTGGTGGAGCAGCGGCGCGGGGAGGGGCGGCGGGCGCCCGGCCCCCGGCGGCCCCCGGCGGAGCGGCTCTGCTTCTACACGGGACACGTGCTGAACCGCAGCGACTCCTTCGCCTCCCTCAGCACCTGCGCCGGGCTGGTACTGCCACCCCGAACCGCCTCCCCTACCGCGGGACGCCCCTTCCCCGCCGACCTTCCCCCCGGGGCCGCGGCCGGACCCTCCGCCGCCCCCGACGGGCTTTTTTTCCTGTCAGCCCCGGGGCTGCCCGACCCGCTCCCAGCCCGGGGGAGGCGGGAAGCGGCTGTGGCGTCCCTGCCCCGCTCCCCACGCCACCTCAGCGCGGTGCCCCTCCGGCCCGTTCCTCGCCTCAGCGCGGTGCCCCTCCGACCCCGCTCCTCACGCCACCTCAGCGCGGTGCCCCTCCGGCCCCGCTGCTCACCTCAGCGCGGTGCGCCTTCTGCCCGCAGCCCTGCCCGAGCTCTCTCGCCTCCTCAGCCCCGGCCGAGAGGCTCCGGTGTCCCCCGGGAAGACTTTCCTGTCAGCCCCCGGCCACCCTGCCCCGCGGAGGCGGGGAGCGGCCATAGGGCCCGGGCCTCACCTCAGCGAGGTGCCTCTCCTTCCCGCCCGGGCCTCGCCTCAGCGCGGTGCCCCTCCTGCCCACCCCCCCACTGCCCTGCCCGGCCCCTCGCCTCTCTGGGCCCCGGTGAGCATGGCTGCTGACCCACTGTGGGTTTTCCATCAGTCCCAGCTCTCCACTGTGGGAGCTGCCCCATTTTAAGCCATACCTCAGCCACAGTCTGCTGTGGGTGGGCAGCAGGGCCTAGGGGTCCCGCTTGGCCTAGGGGACCCTCCTCTCGTCACTGTACCCCCGCCATCTGGCTGGTGGCTGGGTCCTGCTGTGGGGGATTTGGTTGCCTGCCTGCCCGGCTCCCTCCTGCAGCTCCTCGGCTCTTCAGCCAGCCCTTTCCACCTGGCTTGTGTGATGGGTGTTGGTGTGTGAGGGTGTTCCTGCAGTGTAGGGACACCTGGTACTCTGGCATGGTCAGAGGAACCATCCCACTCAGGGATGACTTTCCCACCTCAGGGGTCAGGATTTCTCTATGTGAAGTTGTCACTTTTTCAGGTGGCTCTGCAGGGCCTGGGCTCTCCTCTGAGCATCCTGATAAGAAGGGGTGATCTTGCATGGGACAGCATTTCTGTTTCTCTGGGGTGAAGACTTAGATGCTTAAGATGATGGCTAGTTTGAGTTTGTAATTATTGTTGATAGCTTGAAAGTACTTCAGAAAGTCACCGGGGCGTTAAGCGTACTGGGATGTGTGCTTAACTTCTCGGTACAGACCTCTTGATAGAGATTTTGTCTTAAACTTTGCAGTAAGAAGCACTTCATGTGCTCTGCACTTGGGGCTCGGGCCTTCATTCCTGAACCATTTGAGGGCGCTGTGCCTCAGGTTTGGGGGGAAAAAAAAAAAGTGGTTCTGAGATGCTGAGCGTTTGAGTGGCTCTGTAAATTGAGCTGTACACCACCGAGGGCTTTCTCAGAGTTTAAAAGTGATATCTCCAGTTCAAGCTTTAAATCACTAACAGCTCTACGCTTTTGTCACTAGGCACGTTTTGTTAATCCCGTTCATGAAGTGCTGGGCTTCCAAAGCTACCTACTCCAGCAGAGCTGAAAAGTACAAACAGGCAGAGAAGGAACCTTTTTAAAAAGAGGAATGTAGTTGTAGGCACAGTATTAACTGCCTGAGATCAGGGAATGGAGGAGGGGGAGTGGAAAAGATTGGCGATATTCCCAGTAGAAAAGTTGGAAAAGAAACAAGACTAGTTAGTCTTTGTTCATTACTCTGCAAATATGAGCCGCAATATTGCGGTATCTGTTTGTATCATATGAATTCTAAATGACTAGATTGACATAACTCAGTTAGATGACCTTGGGATCAAAAAGTGTCAAAGGTGTCAAAGCTGCTCGTTTGTAGCACCTCTTGGGGACCAAGGCCAATACTGCCACACGAGCAAGTGACAGCCTTGGTAAAGCTCAGCTCCCCTTTGCCTGTGGGTCTGGTCCTGGGAGAGCTGAGGGTGGTGTGGGCAGATGTGTTGAGAGAGATGTGTTTCTGCATGTTGGGATGCTCCTATTCGGGGAGTCTGTTCATTTATTCTTTGTTCAGATAATCACCAGGAATGGGAAATGGGCTAAAAACAGGGGCATGATACGTATGAGTGCGTTAAGGTTTATAACACCCTTGTGAACTCAAAACTAGAGAACAGAAAACTGAAGTGTCTTCAGGATGAACCTAAACTTAAGATGAACCTCATTAACTTCTGAAATGGGTTTATTAAATTGATCCACATCACCATGTAGATAGACCTTCTTATGGACCTTTTGGCTTCTTCAGTCTGTTCTTAAACGTGAAACATACCAGATCTTAGCCTGCTTTTAGTGTTTACAAAGCCTTTTGCAGTGGCCATGCTAAATCATCATACCTGTAGTGAAAGGTATGCCAGTTAGTGGCAAGGTGTTTCCTGGGATCAGAAGAATTAAGTTTGCCTCAAATTATCTCGGGAGCCTTGAATCTGCCATGAGTGGAACTGAGATTGGGTAACTCTAGAGCCCAAATTTGTTGCCTCCTATTCTGGCGATTTAAAATACCAACACCATCACTACAGAGGGTTTTGAATTTTCCTGTTGCTCCTTAATCCCTGTTTGCAGCAGGAAGGATAAGGCTTTGTCCTCAGCAGCAGCACAGCTTCACAGGTGGGGATCTGGACAAGGCCTGCACGCTGGGCTAGAAGAAAGACCTCAGTAGCAGAAGGCTTGCAGCCTGTTTATCCTGGCATTTGTCTCCTGAGCGGTGCTAGCACTGCAGTGGGAGATTTCCTGAAAACTCCAGTGTGGGAGTGCTTGTTGGACTCAAACTGGATGGTCAGGATATCTTGTTCAAAAAAGCTGGTCGCTAAGAAGTAGAGTAAGTAATAATACTGTATCCTGATCTCCAGCTGGCCTGGACTTTGTTGTAATCGTATTCTTCAACTATGCCATAAATCATACAAAAAGCGATATAAAATGACCAGGGCAAGTGGAGTTCTAATAAAAACAAAATCCCTGATACAGGGGCATGAAAACTGAGCTACAACCAGACTGAGAAATTGCTTCCTGGTAGTGATATCGGGTTCCCAGTGATGACACCTAAAGAAACTCTGCTTGCAGATGCTGCTGTTAACCAGTATGTGTCCAGCATAGGGCAACTAAGATGATTAAGGGATTAGAGCACCTCCCTTACAAGGAAAGGCTGAGAGAGCTGGGGCTCTTTAGCCTCGAGAAGAGAAGACTGAGGGGAGACCTCGTCTATGTTTACAAGTTCCTAAAAGGTGGGTTGAGGGTTGATGGAGCCAGACTCTTTTCAGTGGTTTCCAGTGATAGGACGAGGGGCAACGGGCACAAGCTGGAACATAGAAAGTTCCATTCAAATATGGGGAAGAACTTCTTTCTGGTGAGGGTGCCAGAGCCCTGGAACAGGCTGCTGAGAGAGGTTATGGAGTCCCCTTCTTTGGAAATCTTCAAGACCCACCTGGATGCAGTCCTGAGTGATGTGCTCTGGGCAATCCTGCTTTGGCAGGGGAGTTGGACTAGGTGGTCTCTAGAGTTTGGCGGAGCAGTGTTACTTTCCATACAGCTTTTTTGATTGAAGCCTGGAGAGCACAGTAGAGAAGGCCCTTTCAGCACCATGAATTTGTGATGTGATTGCAACAATGCTTTGTCTGAGTCTGAGTCCTAGCAGGTCTTATCAGTTGTGCAGACCCAAGGTGAGAGTGACAGGCAGATTTCTGTGCCTTTTTGGGGCAGACGTCTTCCCCAGTGGTAATGTGGGATTCCCAAAGACCTTGTTTGATGTATTAATTCACTTTTTTTTTTTTTTGTACTAGGGTCACTTTCACACACTGAAGTGCTGGACTGCTGTGTGGTCTGTTGGACCATAACATCAGTACCTTACAACTGGTGCCAACTTTTCATATTTCTTGTTCCTAAATTTTTTGAAAAAGCTACAGTTTTAAGATGGTCATGGATTCCTATTAAAATGAGCATTAGGTTTTGAGTTGGAAATGAGCTTGAATACTCTTGTCTGTTCAGGAACCTTATCTGAAAGCTGCAAATCACTGGGATGCATTTAGAGGCAGAGGTTTAACTTTAAGTAACTTCTCTTTTTTCATTTTGAAATCTGGAATCTCTGACTTTGGGTTCAGGACTGCTCTTTGACCTGTCTCTAGCTAAAGTGGATTGTCTTTCTCAAGTGAGATAAGAGAAGAGGTTGTGGCTCCCTCCTGTTCAGGCTCATTCATTTAACTTGTTCACACCACATTTGCATCTCCTTTGAATCCAGTGAGACTTCCTTGTGCAAACTGGATCAGTGGAAGTGAATGATGTGCAATACAAGGGCTCGTGGAATGAGCACAGTGCTGTTCTCGTTATAGGATGGAACAGAGTAATTGAAGCTGCATCATAAGAAATACATTTGGATGCATAACTTCTTCTAGGGGCTCTGAACTCCCACTGATTCCCAGGTGGGTGTAAGTGCCTACACAGGATGTCTCCGTGTGGTTTTGGATCCAATATAGAAGGCCAGTCAGGGCAAAGAGAACTGAGTAGGTTGGACTGCAGCCTCCAGGGAATGAGCCAATAACTCAAAGGACTCCTAATGGAATGGTAGATCTGTTCTGTCCTTGGTGAAAAAGAAGAATACAGAAGAGGCCCCAGACTGTTGGTTTTAAGCTTGACTCTGGTTATCAAGGGGAGAGGGAGTGATAAAAATGGGCACTTCCAAAGAGCACTTCTCCTGATGGTCTGTCCTGTTGCTTAGTTACTTTAGATTGGTGAATAGTCACTTTGGAGGTCTTTGCCTTTCTCTGTTGACTGCAGAGGGAGAGGATGCCTGGTTTAGGGCCGATGTGTGAAGCTCGGTGAGCTCACTCCCTGTCCAGTGGCAGTGAGTGTTTAATGTGTGCAACGGGGCGGTGCTGCCCTTCAGGTGACTGCAAGAGCCTCTGCTGCTGTGGGAAGCAGGGCAGTGCAGGCATGCTAGGATTAGAAGATGATACGATATCCCCTGAGGAAACCTTCAGCTCTGCTGAATTCTCCTGTCTGGGAGAGGAGCTGTCTGGCATTTAGCCACAGCTGGTCCACAAGCTGAAAAGTTAAACCTCTTAAAATTACCGTACTGGGTTTCTTTGTGCTGGGATTTTCTTTCCCCTTCCACAGTGGACAAAAGGGAGAGCACGTTGTGGTGTCCTTGTTTAGCAGACCCAGAGGTGCAGCCAGATATTCTGGGGTATGATCTGCTCTCATAACTGGGTGTAAACCTGAAATGACGCTGGAGCAGTTAAAGCTCTTGCTTTAAATTTGCTTGAATTGCACTTGTAAATGATAACAAACTTAGAGCTGAAGCCTGGTTAATAAGGACATGACTAAAAGCCATGTGAAGTTTATTAAACTGCATTTGTGTTGTTTTTGTTCTTCACTTTAAATATTGACTTCCTTTTAACTTTGAGGAAATGGTTAAGCTAAGATTTACATTGTAACAGTTGAGAAATCGAGAAGGGAATGGAATTTGTCAGATGTTTAAAACTGTTCTCTTTTCAGCATGTTCATATGTATGTAACTAATGAACGCTTAGGAGCAAAAGAAAAATCTGTTAGAGATTCAGCATTTCACAGATCTTGTTCAAAGATGTTGTGAAAATAAAAAGGGCTGGAAAAACAGTGTAACTGTTGGAGTGTATTAACGTGTGGGAAGGTCCAGAACCATGTGCAGAGAACACTGAAGATTTGGATTCCTGTCCCGAGTTAGCCCTTGAGCTGTTGTAGCTCCACCAGTAACTACCAGGGGACAGAGGCAGAACAGAGAAGCCAGCGGAGCAGGACGATGTGATTACAAATGCAATTTGAGTGCCAGCACTAACAGTCCCGTTGTTACCGTTGTAATTCCAGTGATAGGGTGTGAGGACCTTCCTCCTGAGGAAAAACTCCAGTGGCGAGGAGGAGGATAACGTGTACAAGAAGAGTGAACTGCTGGTAGCACAAGAGTGGATTAGAGAGTGAGCAGATTGCTTGCGTGACCAACGTATGTGTAGAACTCTGGATAAGGGCATGTGAGAATATTTTGGTTTGGTGGTTTAGAGAACAGGGACTTTTTTGCTAGCAAGGAATGCTAAGCTGACTTCTCAATTAAGGATATAAAATATCCTTAATATGAAAGATACATCCAGTGTTAAGCACAGTGGTGAGTGGGGCTGTAGTGGGAGGTGTGGATTATTGTTTATTTTAATCAACTTGTCAGTTTCGTTGCCTGCCTTTTTGAGGCTGAAATCATTCCAGCCCTTCCCGTTCTGTGTGATTCTATCAGCTGTAGGGTCCTGTCGTACTAGCTGTAAAATCCAGTTTAGATTAATAATGCAGATGATGATGAACTTCTCTGCCCCTCTGAATCTTTGTGCTCCTGATGACTCCTGTGTCTCGAGTGCTCTGGGGTGGTGGGACTGGGCAGCAGCCACTTTCCTGGACACTAAGCAATACTGGGGTCTGGCACAGGGGCAGGTCCTGTTCGTACGGGCTCTCACAGTGAAAGAAGGATGAGAGGGAGTATCCCAGCTTTTGATATGCATTTCCCCAGGCAAACGTGAATTGGCAGATCCAAAGCATTTTATTTAATTGGAATGATTTCCAGAGATGTGGGAAAAATAGCTCTGACAGCTACGTGGTCTCCTGTTTTACTTCTTTATCTTCAAAATCCAGCTTTCTGCTGTCCCTGAACATCACACAGACTAGAGAAGAAAAGCACAGAGTATTTGTCTAATGCTGATGTCTGATATCTATCTCGTGCTGAGATTAGCGCAGTATAGTATCTGGTAGTTGGAGGATTTGAGGGAGGCAACAGGAAGAATGCATTTCTTACAGAAAAAGCAAAATAATGATCAGAATATTGAGGTTACGAGGTCCAAAAGATCTCATCTGGGCCAACAGGCTTGAGGACTCTTTAGAACCCAACTGGCAAGTTTGGGAAAAATTTTAACTCCCTAGGAATACTCTACAGGCCCAATCCTGCAAATCCTTCCTGCTTGAAACTCTACTTGGCTTGTCAGATTAAACTTGAGATTGCTTCTTAACCTATTCCAGGGTGAAGACGCATGGCTCTTTCACTCCATAGGTTTCACAATTCCAAAGCAAATGTGAAACATAAGTCCTTTCCAATGGTTTAAATTATTTTCACACTTGATGCCAGAAAGTTGGGATAATGTCGGGTGGTGATGAAACTGACTACTTCTTACATATTTTTGGCACCAACAAAAATGGTTGGCAGTCTTTCAGGAGCTCTGGTGTGGCTTTTAGTACCATGGCACCAGATTTACAACCCTTCTTCTAAATAATTAAAACCTATATTAAAAAGGGGGGTTGGGGCTACCTCCCAGCTGGAAGATTGGAATAAGGAGGGGAAGTAGTGGAGAGCATCGTAAAGGAGGCTGGAAGAATAAGTCACTAGAGCTTTTGCTGTCTCTGAAGCATTCTGACAAAGCCCAACTTGTAATTTAAATGAAGAGGCAGCCCTTTTAGAAACTCCAGGGCAGAGTGGGTCTTATAAACAGGTATGCATTCTGTAGGGCCAAGAAATAAAGTCAATTATTCTTCATACATGGGAGCCCTTCTGGGAGGCGTCAAGCATTTTATACTTAATCAGTGACCTCACCCGAAGGGCAAGGTCTCTTTTGAAAGACCTCAAAAGAGGTGTCTCTTGTCTCTTTTGAGGCAGGGGACTAATTGTTACCACTGTGCTTTCCAGCCATAGCAAATAGAGACACTGATTGTTTTATATTTATTTTTTTTCCCTCCCAAGTGCGCTTTTGAAATTAGCGACCCTTTCTGAGAGATCCTGGTTTCCCCTGAACGTTATTCAGTTAGTAGGGCTGTCAAAAGAGGATAGCTCTCATTTCTGTTAGCAGAAATTCCTCTTGCTGGAAGTACTAGGCCAAAGGGATTTCCTGGGTGTACGTGAGGACTGAATTTGGCAGGGAGGTGTGGAAATGTACAATATACAGTATGTATGTAATGTATATTATAAATCATATTAGTACAGTCAGCTGTTGAATATATAGTATTTGCATGTACGTGCAGAGCATTTATTTGGATGGGTGCCTGGCTGGCACAGAACACAGTGGGAGGGGCAAAAAAAAGTCTGGTCTCTCTTTGTATGTATAGGATGGGTGTTAGAGGCTCGCAACCCAGCAGGACCCCTTTGTGAGCTCCTTTACCTCCAAGGTGTACCATAGGCACAATCTGATGCCTCCTGAGGCTTCCTGGTGCTAGAAGGAGGAGTTGGGTCAGACCTACCGAGTTCTCTCAGGGGAGTATACAGCAAAGAGCTGTATTTTGAGACTTTTAATTGCAATATAAATAATTGTTGGATTAGTACAATGAAAAAGTAAGTAAGAAGCACTCATTGTACATACTCACTTTCTCCAATGTGGTATAACCTCAGTGTTGATTACTAAACTTGGAGGCTTTGTTAAGTTTTAGGGTGATATCTTTGCTTTCACTCTCTCCTTTTCATGCCAGAAAAGGAGTGGAAAAGGCATAAAAGAACCTTTAAAACTCTGGGTTGTAAGCAGGGGAGGGCTCTCCTGGGGCAGAAGCTGCCTTCCAAAGATGTTCTTGCCAGCCCTGGTGTAAGGTCTGGACTTGGTGCAAGAGAGGCAGGGGTTTAGTGCTCTGACCTGTGGTCTATGGAGTCTACTGTTACTTAGACAAGGTCTTTGTGTTACTTATTCCAGAGACGGTGGAAAATCTCGTAGCTGGACAACAGTCCATTCTCAGCTTGACCTCTGAAAGCCATGGCTTGTAGGGAGAGCAGTGCTCACTGTGTGGCCCCTGTTGTAGTCAAGAAGTGGTATTTGGTCCCCCCAAAAAAAGCGTGGGTGTCTCTGCAAGTCCTACTTATGACATCAGTAATGAATCTCACCCTTTTGCTCTACTGAGATAGATAATAAATGCCATTTGAGAACAATGCCATTCTGGCTAGCAATTAGAAAGGTGATTATGAAAGCTTTTCTGTTAATAGAATTTATTTGTCGTCATGTGAGCTGAGCATCTCATAAGACATACTTATTTATGCTTCCAGCTAGAGTGGTGCTGTGGCTGGAGGAAGAGGAAGAAGGGAAAGGAAAGGTGTTGACAAGAACCCCCTACCTTTTCTTTGTACATGTACAGCGCACAATGTTTCTAAATAATACTCAGTGACATAAAAAATAAATCTGAGAAGCAGATGAAGTTCTTTAGTCTGTATTAAGCAGACTGAACATGATCATAATCACTTTACATTTCCTCACACTTAAATAATGATGGCAGTGAAATGGTCTAGGGGTTGATAGACAAGGTTAGGATACTAAACTGATGGGATTTTTTTGTTCTCTTTTGTGGACAGGTTGGCTATATCCAACTAGGATCAGAGCAGATGCTAATACAACCAGTGAATACATCAGAGACCTCATTTAGTGGAAAAGAACACTTCATCAGGCGGAGAAGATCCACAAAATCAAGCCATCCCATGAAGTCGCACATTCCTGATGAGCACTGCAAGGTTGTAGCAGGTGAGCTTGAAGTGGCTCAAGAGAACAGCCACGAGTATGCAATTATATTTTAAACTGTTGTTCTGCCAGATATGTCTGTATTTTGTAATTCAAGTGTTCAGGCAGCTGGAGCTAGTGAAAAATGGCGTGCATTAGTGAATCCTTCTGCTACTTCAGGCAGAAGGAGCCACATCACAAATACTAACATTGTTAGGACATATGCTGTTACATTCAATTTGTGCAAAGATAAACTTTATGATGGGTCAGAGTAAAATTCTGCTTTAACCATGCAATGTGACCACTGCTCAGAAAGGCATTCGCGATGTTTTTAGCAAAAGCTCAAATTTTGAAACTGCAGTCAGTGGTGAGGGGAGCTCTTTTGTCTCACCTTTCCTCTACAGTTGTGCCAAGTAGGCATGGACAGGTTGGTGATCCTTGCATTTCAGGTTGCAGAAAGGGTCACTGCAGATACTTCAGATTAAATTAGATGAAAGTATCATCTGTGGAGTCCAACTCCAGGGATCCAGCTCATAACAGGGTGGAAAAATATCTGGAGAGGGGAAGAGATGCACCATTTCTTTTGTAAAACAATCTACTTTCTTTTGCAGCTTCGCACATGTCATAATTTTTACATCCATCTAGCAGAGCACACCATCCATAATAGAGTGTATCAGGGTATGCGATCAACTTTGTATTTATTTATTTTTTTAATTGCTTTTGTATAGACTTATGTGCATTTGAAACTGCCAGATGTAGTGAGCAAGGTAATTTTTTTTAACTAGGAACTTGATTTTACTTTTTCTTTCCAGTGTTTGGCTCGTCAAATGTAAGCTCTAGCTTAAGCTCTAGCTCTCATGCTATAGGACTTTTTTTTCCTTTGAGTGGCAACTTTTAAATTGTTTGCTTTAAGGTTTTGTGAGACAAATTAAACTTTTTAGCTTTCCTGGAGATCTGTGAATCCAGATTTGAGGTCCGAGTCCAAAATGTGATAACAAAATGTGATTGTGTAGGTGTATTGTTTCAATAGGACTTCTTGAGAAATGGCAATGACTTGGATTTCAGTTGTGTGTCTGGCAGTTAATAGTAGACATTCCCTAATGCTCTGGATTCGGTTTCCAGGGTTGTGCTGACACACCTTGCTGGTGTTAAAATCCTGGGCTTAAATATTACATGTCTCCATGAGCATGTGAGGTGCCGGTGGCATGTTCCAAATTGTCAGTCTTCAGTTGTAACCCAGCGTGACAATGTTAAAGTTGGTTTTTAAGTTAAAAAAAAAAAGTAAAAAAAAAAAGTGATGATTGTGAATTTCATTTTAAGCCCTAGAGTCCCCACTGGAATGGGAGACTAATAATAAGGAGATTGAATTCTTGGGTAATGATCCTCCTGCCAGTATTTTTCTCCTGTGTTTCACCTTCCTCCATTCAAGGCACCACGGAAAGTCAGTAGCTTTACTATATTTTTGTATGATAAGAGCATGTGCCTGTGAGCTGCTGCAAACCTTGCTGGTGTTCTAATGCCTAACAGCTGAAAGATGATTGTGGATCTCATTTTAAGCCCTAGAGTCCCCATTGGAATGGGAGACTAATAATGAGGAGATTGAATTCTTGGGTAATGGTCCTCCTGCCAGTATTTTTCTCCTGTGTTTCACCTTCCTCCATTCAAGGCACCACAGAAAGTCAGTAGCTTTACTATATTTTTGCATTATAAGAGCATGTGAGCTGCTGCAAACCTTGCTGGTGTTCTAATGCCTAACAGCTGAAACCCTGTAAAGATGTAGCGGTCTTGCTCCCTTTTCATTTGGGTGGGGTTACTTTTGTTTGGTGTTAATAGTAAAACAGCTGTCGATTCTAGTATTTCCTAGCATTTTTCAAGAGAAAATGGCTACCCCTATTCACTGATCGTATCCTGTCTTCTCCCATTTTTAAAGCCAAACAATCAGATTGTCAGCTTGTATAAACTGGTCTAGTTTTTGGCTGCTTTGGAGCAATTGAATTTTATCCTTTCTGGAAATCGGTGTGGGTGGGTTGCATAGAAGGTATTTTTTATGAACTCTGCAAAATCTCTTCTTTAGGTTTCAGTGTGCCTGTATATTCTGTTCCTTTTATTGCTTTCCTGCCCCATTACCCCACCAATATTCCAGCCTTCTACTGGATGGACTCCAGACGAAATGGAGGCAGTGGGTCCAGTTATCTATGCTGTCTTCTACTGGACTGCCAAAGGGACAAAATGGGAAGCAGGATGCCAAATTTAATGGGTGCAAGAGTGGGACTCTCTGGTATGGGAACAGCTGAGTGCTCAGGAACCTTCTGCTCATAAGGTTGCCTTCTAGCTGACATTGCTTGTTGGTAAAGCCAGGACTTTTATTTACTCGTGTGGAGTTGAGCTCAGCAGGTTTGTCATTCTCATGGGTTCAGACTAAGCCAATCTTCTTTTTGATTCTCTGAGCAGGAAATCTTGGTTCTGCTTACAGTTACAGATCCCTTACGTTTCCTTTTAGAGGAATTGTCAGAATTCAACGTCACTCTGATTTCCTAGCCAAGTACTATAGGTGCTGCAGCATTGTGTTCATAGGAAATTCATTACAGAATTCTTACACTGTAAGAGAAAACAGCCATTAGCTAAAAGCTGAATTGACCAAAATTAGTCCAGGAAATCTGCCTCAGCCTTTTTGCCACTGAATGTTTTGACCTTCTCTCTAGGGGCATGGTGCTGCCTGTCCTTGGCGGAACTGAAATTCCCTCCCTGGGAAGAGGGACTAAAGGAAAGGAAACTGGGGAGACACTGGGTAATTATATGGGGTCATAAATGGAAAGAGAAGGTGGATGAGTGAGTACCAAGGTAGCAGACCTGTAAAAATAAGGAACTAAAAGGAGACACTGAAAAAAAGTGTTTCCAGTAGCACTGAAGACTTCCGTGGACCCACTACGTGCTGCTTTTCTCTGCTTTCTCCAACAGGGAATGTGAATAGACCCAGCAGTTGCTGGGATCTTCCCTGCAAGTTTTGTCTTCCTCAGGTTGGTCCAGAGGTGACTGACAGGCAGGTTGTGAACTTGGTGGCCCTCATGGCATGGGCCATGGGGACTCTTGGTCTAACATGATGTGATTGCATTGTGTGGCAGCAAAATTAATTACATACCTATTAGCTTGTAGCTGCCATAGCTCAGCTGATGCTAAGGTGACAGCCAGGCCACATGGGCTGAGTGTGTATCTGAGTTCAGGAGCAGGGAGATTGATAATCTGATGTAAAATTTATTTAAGGCTGTGGATCTTGTTCTGTGACTGGATGTTTTCCTGCCTGATGCTAATCAAGGGGCTAAGCTAGGGCTGGATTTAGGGAAAGCGTGGGCTTCTCTGACTCTTGCATGAAACCAGGCTGGCTTTAGTCCCTCCCCCAGCAGGTAGGTGAGGAAAATCTGGGACTGTGTGATTCCCTGCTCTGCCCCGAGATCTCACAGGAGTTTGCAAAACAGCTGGGGACGGAATTCATATCCCTTGGGTGCTGAGTCTTTGTGTTGACCGCAGGCTGGCTGTGCTAAAAAGAGAGCAAATCACCCGGCTGCTGCACAGCGGGGAGTGCTGCTTGCTCATGCAAACAGCCACTGCTTCAAGTAGCTGTGTCATAAAATAATGAAATTGCTCATGGGCTTTGCCACTTAAAGGCAGACTCCTGAGTGTTTTTCATTGTTGCGGGAAAGAAATGTAAGTCATGGCTGTTAATAGGCTTAGCACGTTAACGACCTAATTGACTCCTGTCTGGTTTGGATTAACTTTTGTGCACAAGGAGTTTAGAAACAAAAAAAATTTAATCCTGTCTGACACACCAAAGGTCCATTCCTAATGAAATTGTGTGGAAATGATGATCTAGGGGCACGCTTCCAGAGTTTCTCCTGGGATAGGTCTATTGACTGTGGTACTCACCAACATCGGCGGAGTGAAGGACTGATCAGATTTGTACTAGAAGTTATTTTTCACGGGCTCGTAATTTGGCTCACCCAGGCTAAAACTTGGCAGGAAAGAATGGCAGTTGTAAATACTTAGGAAATATTCACATGCTAGACATTTTAGATACACATCCTGTATTGTGAAACAACATAGAAAAATACATGTTTGTGTAAATACAATATAAAGCAAGTATTTTTTCGAAGCCACAGAATTGCCATGCTTGGGCATTTGCCAGTCCTTTGCTGTTCTTGTATTTGCTGAACAAACAAGAGTCACCTCTAAAGATATTTTCCTCTTAAAGTTTTGTAATTCAGCAGTACCTGGCATGATCTGGGGTTATTTGGGATTCAAATAAAATACAGAGTATCAAATGTGGAATTTTTAATGGTAGTTATTGATCATGTCATCAAAATTTAAACAGGGCTAAATTGCTCAATGGGAGATTTCTACCAGTAGCAATGGTCCTGTGATGTATGAACATAATTGATTGTAAAACAGAAGAGATATGTGGCAATGTAATGTGTAAGTGAGTGTAGGGGGAGGAGGAAAGCATTTCAAGAAAACAAAATTAACTTAATCAAGAAGTGCCATATGTCAGCTCTTCTGAGGCAACAGAGAGCACAGCTTTCCAAGAGCATTCCTCCTGTGTTTCCACCCAGAAGTGTGACACTTTCCTCTCAGCTGTGGGAGAGGGAGACTGAGCTGCACAGTTCCTTGGGGCTAGGTAATGCTAGCAGTCTGGTTTGATAAGTGGTTGTTAAAATCTCTAAAACAACTCCTTTAGTCTAAGTGGCATAACATGTCCTACAGCACTTGAAATTATTTTTAGAGCTGCAGGAGGACTTCGTGGGAGCCAAATTTCTCCTGGAATAATCTGTGTAAGAGGATTAATCTGGCTGTAGTCAGGAATGGGAAAGTACTTAGGGTCTTGCATGACTGGATCTTTGAGATTTGAATCTAAAAGTGCCTATTAATGGGTTAAAAAAAATCCCAAGTCTGTGGATTCAGGGCTGATGTTTTAATTCCTTTGTTTAAATTCTGAAGTGTTCCAGCAGCAAAGGATGGATCCTCTCACCATG